TAGGGATGAAGGACACCACGAGGTGATGATGGCAGGAAGTTCATGATCTGCTGGTTCCTGCAGGAGAACCAAATCCTTGGATTTCTGAGCAGGCAGGACTGGGAATGGCACGGGAGGAACCCAAAAAGTGGATGAAATAAGAGTTTGAAGAGGGAATTTTCTGTCCCTGAGCAGCTTTTCCTTGCTCACGGCTGTTTTCCTGTAGGGATTTGTGTTTCCCAGGCTGGGAGGGAGGAGTGTGGAGCTCCATGATGAGCTCTGGCTCTGAAATAGTCCCAGAACTCCTCCAGAACGCCCTGCTGGGAGCTGGGGAGGAACACGCGGACCTGCAGCCCCCTCTGGAATTGTTCTTTCCCCTTCTGGTGTGGAGTAACTTTGCTGCTGCTGCTGCTGCTGCTGCAACCCGGCCTTCTGCTGTTATATCCTGAATTTCTGCTGATAAATCCCAACTTTCTGCTGATATATCCTGAATTTCTGCTGACATATCCCAGCTTTCTGCTGATAAATCCCAAATTTCTGCTGCTACATCCCAGCTTTCTGCTGATATATCCCGACTATCTGCTATTATATCTTGAATTTCTGCTGATAAATCCCAACTTTCTGCTGATATATCCCAACTTTCTGCTGATATATCCCAACTTTCTGCTGATATATCCCAACTTTCTGCTGATATATCTTGAATTTCTGCTGACATATCCCAACTTTCTCCTGATGTATCCCAACTTACTGCTGATAAATCCCAACTTTCTGATGCTATATTCCAACTTTTTGCTGATATATCCTGAATTTCTGCTGATATATCCTGACTTTCTGCTGACATATCCCAGCTTTCTGCTGATAAATCCCAACTTTCTGCTGATATATCCCGACTTTCTGCTGATATATCCCGACTTTCTCCTGATATATCCCGACTTTCTGCTGATAAATCCTGAATTTCTGCTGATATATCCTGGCTTTCCTGCCCCTGCATCCCGGCTTTTCTGCTCCTGTTGGGAACGCCTGGCGTGACCCCGCTCCGGGCACTGAGTGGGGGGTACCTGCTGCCCTCCTGTGTCCCTGGCACGTGTCCTGGTCCCTTTTCCACACTGATCCCATCCCAGCCAGCCCCGATGGATGCTGAGCGCTGTCCCGCTCGGGGAGCTGGAGTTCCTTGGAAGGTGGAGGGATGCAGGATTTGGGGTGGGATATGGAGGGCTGCTGTCCCGTCCTCCACCCCAATCCTCACCCAGCACTGGATCCCAATCCTTTGGAGCGGCCGTTCCTAKGATTTCACTGTAAATAGGATTTTGTATCTTCTCTGACTATTGCTAATAAATGGTTGCAAAACTGTTCCTGTTCCTACTCCTACTTCTGATCCTGTTCCCCTTCCTGTTCC